GAAACTAGGGCTCCTAGGATACAATTATACAAATAATACAACTTGTTCCACGAGCAGCGGAAACCAGCAAAGCCTGGTTTCCGATGGGTTTATGTTGTGGAGTAAAGGGTGCTCATGGGCTTTCACTGGCCAGTAAAAGCTAAACATGTGCCCATCACCATCTCATTAGCCACCAAACTTCACAAAATTTACATAACCAGCTTCCTTTGACCACATAAAGAAACCAGCAGCTTAATTCTCTAATTTTTCTGCTGGGATCAAGTCACACTTGATTTCTGGGGTAGAATACATGTGTGATGGAGATGTTCAGCAGATGCATGCTGGAGCCTCACAAGAACCAGACCTTCATCTGTTTGTCACAAGCCCCTTCTTGGCACAGCAGCAGCCCATGTCACCCTTCAAGAGCGGTAGGGATGTGGCAGGGGTTTCTATCTAAACCCAACCAAGATGTGCTTGCTGGTTTGTTGATCAGGACGTGATGAAGGCTCCTTAGTGACGCACTAGCGGGGAGAAGGAGTGGGAGCTGCTGTGTCATCATCATGAGAGTGGCAGTGGGGCCACTGATGTCCCCTCACTCTGAGGTGGGGAGAAGCACGGGCAGAAACTGATGTCCTGTGAGTGAGTGGGGGCTGGGGAGAGCTCCGTTCTTCTCCGTATCCAGCAGCGTGGTCCATCTTCACCCTGCCCCATCTCCTGAGCCGACCGTGGGAGTCGTGGCTCTGCCGTGCTCCTTGACAGTTTGGTTTTGAGGGATGAGCATAAACGCTGTCCCCAGCTGGGCGGGATGGCAGGAGGCTGCTTTGCCTTGCTGGGAGCAGGGACTGGAGCTGTGTGGTTTGCAGGAGGATGACACAGGCTGGGATGACTTGTCACTGTTAACGCACAAGACGCTACTGGGGTGCTCATTAATGGGAAGGGAGGAGAGGGTCTAGAGGTAAACAGAGCAGGGCTGGCAGATGACTGTGCCATCTCTGCGCAACCTCGTCTAAGCCTATTTATATAAATCATGTGAAACCCAAATTAGAATTTTATCCATCTGCTGTGCTGTAAGTTGCTCTTCCACCAGCACAGCAAGCCAAGAAAATGCTCTTAACTCCGTAAGATCTGCCTCGAGTGTGAGAAAGGTTTGTATACAAGGCCCAGTGCTGGTGTGGGGGCTGTGAGGATTCACACTGCAGCCTCCTGCAAGGCTGCAGGACAGGCTGTCACCATGTCCTCCAGGAGACAGCAGTGGCTTGACATCAAGGGCAAGCCAGGAAGAGATGTGGACGTTCAGTGAGAAGCCTCCAAGGCTTCACTGTGTGCAGGAGGACAAGGGCTCACCTCTGCCTCGTGTGTGACATAACCATGGCTGAAAGTGTTGAGCAAGACCATCTCTGCCTGACTTCTGGTCCCAAACACTGTGGTGAGCTTGTCGTGGTTTGGCACAATGAGGAAGGTAGGGAAAAGCCCTTCTGTACTTTCCCATGTTTCCTACTTGTAACAGAGCTGGACTTTTCAGCCATTCCCTCGAGGAGGCTGTTACCCGTTTGCTTTGCAGATGCTCAGCTCTCTGTGTGGGGCGGCTCCTCCCAGGAGTTACACCGGGGCAAACCGAATGTGACCACAGGTCTGTGCCTGCCTTCCCGTGTGGCTGAACTCGCCTCTCCTCTGGCAGCACACACTCGCAGGAGGATCCCGCGGGCTGATGACTCGGCCGGCCGGACGCTGCCCTGGCAGCGAGCACAGGGCTGGCCCCGCCACCACAGCACAGCAATTTCTAGGAAACACATCTGCCTCCCCACACAGGAGGTCCCTGGTGAAGATGATGACTCACCAAGGGATCTCTTGACCTCTCTACCCGGCACTGTTGCGATCCGGCTTTCTTGGCGTTCAGTGCTTTTCCCGTCATTAAAAATAAAACCTGCTTTTTTTTTATTATTTTCCCCTCATCGAATTGAAGATTCCGGTGAACAGTTTGGGGGTAAACAAGTGAAGATGACACTGTGGAGGAACAGTTGGTCAAGTTTGCGAGAGATGGAGCCAGATCTAAATATGGCACAGCCTCACTGGTACAGAGCAGAAGGAAGGTGGCATATGTGTCTGAGCAGTTGGATTGCTGCATGCTCTGTTAGATTTCCTTAACATCAAGTGTGTTCTCTTCCTTTTTTCTTTCCTTTTTAGCATAAAAAAAGGAGTAGAAGCTCACCAAAAACGTCCTAGGGTGGAAATAGGGAAGGGCTACAAGGAGGTGACGGACCCTTTGGCTCAGCTGACAGGTGGAAGCAGAGGTGTCTGGATGAGATGCTCCTCTGCGAGGACCAAACCAGGAGGCCATGGCCACCCCCAGCCAATCTCCTTGCTGCTGATGCACACACCAAAATCTGGCCTGGCAAAGGCCTTTTCCCAGGTGACCTCCATGCTGTTTGGTACCAATGGAGTGATTGCTCTGGGTCATGTATCCCTCATGTCTCCTCCAAAAGGGAGGAGATCCCTGGTGCTCATCTGGGGATGCTGCACATTGTCACCCTTCCAGCTGGACCTCTGCACACCAGGAACAAGATGGACCAGGTGCTCTGGGCTGTGTCCTCAAAATGAGTGTCTCCTCCAAAGTCCCAGGCCACTTTGTTGACACAGAAAAGCTGATTCCCTCTAGCATTTAGTTCCTCCTGGGAAGTACATCCTTACACCCCACTGATTGCATCAACTTTTTGGGCCTATATGTCTACAGACAAAACCAACAGAGGAATCAGTGTCCTTGGATTTTCTTCACTGCTGGAAAGAACTGCACAAGGATTTCACTCTCCCTCTGCAGCTGACTGTGGAGGCAACCAGAGGCCAGGCTACACTGGGGAAACAGTGTGCTACTGGATGTACACTGCCAGTTCTCACGTGGCTCCTGCCCATCCTGGTGGGTAACCACAACCCCTGTGCTGGGGGGATGGAAGCTTTCTTGCCTGTGGAATGCTCTTGCTGGGTTTTCACACACCCGGGGAAAGGCAGGGAGCTGGGGACAGGAAGCCAAAGGTGAGACTGTTGCAAGCAGCTTTGATCAGGGCTTTTTTCCTAAACCACCCAGTTAAAGGTTAGTCATGGAGCCTTTACCACCCCTGCCAAAGATCCATTGATTTTTCCTGTTAAGCCACATGTCTATGTCATGTCACTACATTTGGCCACTTAAACCAAATCTTTCTCCAAGTGTTCCAGTGGGAGGGGCTGGTGTGGCTGGGCAGGGAAGAGTTTTGTACGGATACAGTGGACAGGTGACTTATCCAACCATTGCCAGGAAGGGCAGGGCCGTGCACACAAAGAGCAGGAAGGAACAGGTGCTGTGTCCTGGACCTGGAAAAGGCGGGAGCTGAGGTGAAACACCGTGGGGTGGGGACCTGCTCAGTGGGTGTTGATGTTGAGCATCTCTCTCTGCAAATGCAGGGAGCAACCAGCACTACCACGGGCAAAATCTAGCCTGGACCTTTTTGTCACTGTTTAAGCTTTGGCTGGCCCAGGAGCTGGGGAGGGTCTCCCCAGCCAGCTGCAGGCACTGCAGCACCCTTCCTGCTCTCCCTGGCAGGGTGGATGTGCAGGCAGAGCAGTGTGCTACACAGAACATAGCCTCCACTAAAAAGTCAGTATTTGCCAGCAAATAACATACGGTTTTGTTTTGGTTTAATTGCCTCAGAGTCAGTCTCCTAATCTGCATTTTAGATCAGAGACCCCAAAATCCTCAGCATAGGAAAAAGTGCTACAGAGAAAGAGTGAAACAAAGACAGGTCCTGGAGCACTGGTTGTGCTGCCTGGCGTGTTGCAGCAGTGTTGCCTTGGAGCTACTTCTTCTACCCTCTGAAGACTTGTGTGAAAATGACCAAGAAACAAAGGGCCCAGCCTGCTTCTGGAAGGGTAAAAAGCTGTTGATGGAGCGTTGCTTGATTGAAGAGGCTGAGGATGGTGCCTGACTTCCTGCATCCACATCCTGGGAAAGCAGCTGGAAATTGATCCTGCTTCGGTCATCCACTGATGAGCTAATTTTTAACACCAAGCATGTGAGTATAAAAGGGATTAAACGTAAGTTTAAGAGCTTTAATCACATAAAAAGGAGGTGGTCACAGTGTTTTTGTAAGGAGTTGTTTCAAATGCCCTTTGTGAGTGCTGAGGTTCATCTTATTTTGAGGGGTAGAAACAGGAGTATAGAAACAGACTCTTCTGTGATGCAAAACTGCTGCTTGTTTCACAGTTTTGCATAGTTCATTTTGATGAACAGACTCTTAATTCAGTTTAACTCAGGCTCATTTCTCCCCCTGCTCTCCCTATGCAATGTAATCCCATTTTGTGTCTAGGTTACTGGCAACCAGTATATCAAGCTCTAGCCAAGCATATATTAAAATAAAGCTGCAATCTGCTGAAAAACAGGTTTTAAGATGGAAACAAATAATTAGAAACACACAAATTAGTGTCTGTCTGACAACAGGTTGAGCTCTGCACAGATTTAAACAAAGCTGTAATGGCAGGATGTGAGCGATTCAAACCGGAGGCAGTGGCTGAGCGTTGACTTTAATGGGTCAAGTGGAAAAGATGTGGGGAAGGAGCAAACCCGGGTGGGTTTGGCTGGGGCTGAGCACCCAGAACTGAGAGACAAAATAGCAACACACGGGGCCTTTGAGTAACTCGTGGCCTTTCAAGGACCAAGGCCTTGGATGAAGCAGGAGCCTTGGCTGATTGTTAGAGTTGCAGCTGCTGCTGCTGCCTCTGGCACTGGTCCTTCCCCTCTGCCGACTGCCTGCACTGGTGCGTGTTCACTGGGCAGTGGTGAAGGTGTGGAAGCACTTTCTGTGGTTTTGTACCTTTGCTGTGGGTGGTTTTTCTGCCCGCAGGCTCCCGCGGTCTGGCAGCACCCCAAGGCCAGGCTGGGTGAGCCCTGCCCGTGCCCCCTCAGCTGGGCGAGGGACAGCAGGGCCCCTGCGGAGCTTTCCAGCAGCTGTTGGGAGCAATTCAGTTAAATACTCTTTTCCTCTCATTCTCAGGGGCATCTCACCGCTGGAATAGCAGTGCTCCAGTTCCTCGGGGAGCCTGTGAGCAGCAAGTCAGCCAGCAGCATGGATCGTTCTTCTGCACCCATTGTTATGGAAATTGCCTTAGAGACAGTTGCTCCAGCAAACATTTTTAGAAGCTTGAGTGAGATGTGCAACAGGAAAACTAAGCTGGAGGTGAGGAAAACCCCCCTCCAGGCTCCCAGCACTGCCCCTTCCTCCAGTGGCATAGTGGAGCCTTAGTGGCTCTCTTGGATGAGATGGCATTTAGGGTGTTTCTTTGCCTGGTAAGGCAGGGAGAAAGAACCTCTGGAGGAGAAGCCCCTTCTGCGTCAGTCTCCAAGGAAACCCTTGGTGTTGCGTGGCTCAGCCTTCTTTGCACGCCTGGAGTTTTGGCAGTGGCTCACACATCCCAGACTTGTGCCTGAATCATACATCCATGCTTTCATCTGCCAGTGGCATTTCATAAGTGCAAAATTTAGGCAAATTGTGGGGTTTTCCTGCCCCTTTGAGATGCCACTTTATCTCAAAGATACTCACAGTTGGACTGGTGTGCAGGAGAAGAGATGTCCTCCCACAGGCTCGAGAGAAACTAGCCCTATCTCTGTTTTGAATGCATATTCCTCACCATTGAGTCTGAAAGGAGAAGCCTCCTAATGCTCCCACACCTCCCATATTCCTGAGAGCAAGCCTGGGAGCTGTGGTGGTTATGGGGAAGCTTGGGCAGCAGGTGCTTCCAGGTCTGCTACCACCAGCCTGGTTGCAGTGCCTGAACCAGAGCAGGTCACACTGAGCTGCTGGGGAAGAGGAGCTGTCTCTGCCCACTGCCTGGTGACAAGTGGGGGGAGGAGAGGAGAGCAAGTCACTACCCCACAAGTTTCCAAGCCCCCTCCAGGTTAGGGCTGGACACCCACCCGGGCAGTTTCACTGCTCACCCCCCATTTGTGCTGAAATACCCAGCCCTCTCATCTCAGTTTTGACCCAAAGAAATCATCTCATCTCAGTTAACTAAAAGCAATTACAATTAAGGCTTGCTTCTCTCAGGTTTGCTCATGCTCATCACCACTGCCTGTCATGGAGCTGGACCAGATCTCCAGCCCGTGCCCAGGAGCTTTGAGCAGCCTCAGCTGATGGAAGGGAAAAGCACGGATCCAGTGACCTTTGCTTGCATAACTGCTGCCCACAGTCCCTGCCTGACATTTGAGGAGTGGCCGTGAGTGCTGGAGGGGGTGCACGGTGATGGGGTGCTGGGCAAGGCAGGTGAACCTCATCCTTGCTGGCAGAGTGCCAGGCTGAGCCCTGACCCTTCCTTTCTCTTTCTGGAAGTCACAGTGGACTCTCACGGCGGTGTCTCACCAGGAACCAAGGACAAGAAACGTCCCCCCAGCTCTTTGCTGGCAAGGCAGAGGGATTGACCACAGTTTGTCTATTCCCAGGGCTGTTTTGCTGCCCACAGCAATGGAGCCAGAGCAGAGTGGAGTGTGTTTGGCTCTGTGGAATGTTGTGTCACTCACTGCAGGTGCCATGGGACTGAGCAAGAGGGAGCTCACAGGCTGGAGCTGGGAGGGGACCCTGTCATCCCAATGGAGATGCCGGCAGTCATGAGGTGGTGGCAAGATGCCACCAAACAGCCCAGGCCACACTGGCCTGCCAGGTCCCCAGTTTCAGCCTGGCTGCTCCTCAGCATCCCCCTGGCAGTGCCTGGGGTGGGGAAGGACGACTCCATCCCATCCCAGGCCTGCCTCCTCTGGCTTTTCCAAGCTGGTATTGATGCCTCCAGGCACTTCCTGCAGGACCACGGTGCCAGGTGCTGCAGATGCTGTTGAAGCTGCTGAGCATCCTGACCTTCACACTGGTGAGTTGTCCAGCTTTGCAGCCAGTACAGCTGAAGGGGTATCTTTCTCCCTGAACCTTGGAGACTCTTTATGCCAGGGATCCTCGGTGTTGCCAACCCCCAAAGCTCAACAGCCAGAAGCACGAGCTCAGAATAAGCCCCCAAGTTTCCTTTAATAAAGGACATTTCAGGGGAGGATGAGGAAGGGTAATTCTTTGTATTTTGCATTCTGAGCCGTTTGTGCTTATTTTACCTCCTGTGGTACTTTATCTGTTGCACTTGTGCTGGCTGGAAGCTCCCTTTTATTTTGTTTTGTTTGCATTTAATGTGAAAACTGAGCTTTTTGGGGCAAGAAGCTGAAGCTTGGCCACAGGAACTGAGCCCTGGGCTGTGCCTGACTATGAAAGTCAGATGCCTTTGCTGGACATCTGGCTGCTTTAGCTACAGATATCAGGGAAGAGCACTTTAATATTTATCCTGAGCTAAAAAAACAAGTAGAATGGAGAAAAATATACAAAGTAGGCCATGAAAACAGGGTTTGGGAACATCTGAGATCCGCTCCTAATTAATAGCAGTTCCCATCCCAGAAATCATACCATTCAGCAAAAGTTAATCATCTTTGCTCATACATACAATACACTTCAAGAGAGAATGACTCACCCTCATTGAAATGTCTAATGTTATGAAATCCAGTGTGACTGATGTAACAGACCCGGCTGAGCTCTCCAAATTGGCCGGCAGCACCACGGCAGAGCGGGCTGTGTGTGAGCTGACTTCATTGAGTTCTGCTTGTTTGCACCCAGGATGGATTTTCCCTTTACTTACTAGAACAGACTCATGGCAAAGGACCCAAGAAGGATGTGGGAGGGCAGGTGAGTGGGGCAGGAGGGGCTGGCATTGCCAAGCCCCTGCAGTCCTCACTTCCCACCCTGGAGCTGCCTGTCCCCACTCTTGGGAGCCCACGAAGCACAGAGGCCCCGATCCTGCAAATATCTGGGCACCCACGTAATTCACAGCTCATTGGGGTGCCTGGGACCAGCACTTTAATAACATCGCTCTGCATACTTAACCATTCGCAGGCCTGGGGATTTATTCTTCCCTGCTTGGTTCAGAGAGGAATGTAGGTTGAATTCAGCATTAAGATTCTGCATTGATATCAGCCGTTCCCTCTTAAATTAAATATTATTACCTGCAAACATTTCCTTTTAGCACTGGGAGCCGTTTGCTTGGTGTACTTTGTTTAAATGTCACCATATGAATTACTGAAAGTAATTTAAATATTTAAAGACATATACTGCAAGTCTAATTTTATTTTGAAATCCCGAGCCAGGCTTGCAGCTGATGCAGCAGATAACAGCTCAGCCTGGCACCCCTGGTTCCTGGCCCAGTTCTTTAAATTAATAATTTGCATTTTCCAACACCTTTCACCCGACAAGTCTGGACTCTGAGATTCTTTTTCTCCAGCCAGATTTTCTTCTCTCTTTGAGGCCCTGCAGCCCCTCTAGGATGGGTGTGAGTCCCTTGGCAGATTCTCTCCCATCCACCCGTCCACCTTGGCCTCCCTTCAGGGGCATCTGCTCCATAGGGCAAACTCTGGGAGAGATAACATCAGAAATGCCAGGGCCCCAGCAGAAGAGACAGAATTGCTCTTGTATTTCATGTTTTCCAACTAGAGAAGATCTCTCTCCTGACACAACCTTTTCATCTCTTGTTATCTTTATGAACAGCTTAAAAAAAAAAAGTACCATTTCTGGCATGCTGGGCCCACTGCTGAAGAGCTGTTCCTCTTCCACCTCCTTCACCTGCTGGGATGAAAAGCTACAGGTAATGCTGGGGAGTAAATGAAAGGCTTTCCATGAGGAAATAAGCTAAAACAGTAAACAAAATTCTGATTCTGAAAAGCAAAACAGCTGAAGTTGTCACCAGGAAAACATGGTGATGAAACACTCTGGTCCTCGGAAATTACCCTACATGCTGTTGGAAAATACCTTCTGACTCAACCGGCTCAGTGTGTCTGGTGCCACTGTGCTAATAGCTTTTACCTGACCTGGATAGCCCAGGTTTTCAAGGAAAGAATCTTCTCCATGAGAAATGTCACCACCAGACCCAAGCCTTCCTGAGAAAAGCCTGGGTTAGGTGGATGCTGGGATTTCTCCCACTCCTGGGAGCAGCCTACCCTGAGGAGCTGTGTTCCCACCACTGGGCAGCTGATCTGTGGGGCTGGGGCTGGCTCTGCTCTGATCTCCCACCTCTGCTGCCACCGCAGGTGGGTCTCCTAATGCGAGGTCCAAGTTGCCTTTTAATCATGCTGCAGGCATCTCCCTGGAACATTCCTCTTGCCTGCTGCCCCGCCTGCCCTTCTCCCTCCAGAGAGGAGTCTGGCTTCTTACGCAAAGCCGGTGACTCATTCCCCAGGATGTCTTTGCTTAAAAGTTGCCTGGTCACCTCTTTCTCTGGTCGCTGCTTCCTTGCTTGTCAAATCCTGAGTGAATGAACGGTGACACGCAGGCACAATGCACACAGGGGCTGAGATGGCACAAGCTGCTGCAGGATCCCCCTTTCCTTGTGCCCTGTGTGTACCCAGGACAGTGTCCCCCCTCTGTTGTGGGCAGTGGTCAGAAGGAAAGCAACATATATCTCTGAGCCTATCCTTTTCTCCAGGCTCCACCACTTGAGCTATTAAATGCCCTGAGCTCTCCCTGCTCCCTTGGCTTTGTGCATTTTTTTTTTAGAGTTGTGCTGCCATGAAGAGGGACTCTGATGGGCAAAGAGGAGCTTCGTGAAGTGCAACAAGGGGAAGTACGAACTCCTGCCACTGGGGAGGAATAACCCCACTCATCAGTACACACTGGGGTCCAACCAGCTGGAGAAGAACTTTGCAGGTAAAGACCTGAGGGGTCCTGGTGGACAACAAGCTGACCATGAGCCAGAGGTGCATTCTCAAAGCCAGCAACATCATGGCCTGGATTAGGAAGAGTGTTGCCAGCAGGGCAAGGGAGAAGAAGGAAGAAGGTTTTGATTCATCCTTTGTGACCAAGAACTGCTGCCACTGGTGGAAACAGGACTGGCACCTGTGAGTGTTTCAGATATTTCTTGCCAACTCTTAGGTCCAGCAAAGTGTTGCATGAAGGAACTTTTAACCCCATTTCAAGGATTGGGAAGCAGGACACAGACAGAGGGAAGGGATCTGCCCAGTGTCACATCATTAAGCCAGTGGTGGGTTGGGAAGGCACCAGACCCTTGTGTGAGACCTGGTTCAGTTCCCTCTGTATTGGGTCATGTTCTATCAGGTCATATATGTGTATCCAAGAGTTGTGAGTGTATCCAAGAGTGTCAAACTGTCTGGACCAGTGATCAGCAGGGATTGCTGAATGAGTTCACAGAAAATTGTAACGTTGTTAAATACATTAAACAAACAAACAAAAAAAGGCAAATCAAAAAGAGATTGACCCAAGAGATGCTTTGTGTTCAAAATAAAGCCCTGTTCCCTGGAAACTATACTTTTTTGGGAAAAAGAGTGGGGTTCAGCTGAAATTACTAACACTGGGAGGAAATCAGAAGTTGTTTTCCAGTGCTCTGAAAGAGGAACCAACCCGTTGCTCCCGAAATGCTTCACGGAAATGGTTTCTTGGGGTTTGTTCAGTTTTATTTTAATTGCAGTGAGGAGTTGCAAAACCAGAGGATTTAGTGCAAGGAAAAAAACCTCATGAACTGGAGCATCTTCGCAGATGACCAGGAGAACTTCTCCACGAAAGAGTAGTGCTGCCACAGCACAGGTGGTGAAACCTCAAAGTGGGGCAGGAGCCTGTCCGTTCCTAGTCATCAAATACACCCAAACCAGAAGAACTACACGAATGAAAAGCAATGTTTTGGGGACACACACGGGCTGGGAGACCTGCCCTGCTCACTGGAATAAAAGGATACAAGCAATAATTGACTTTAAAGCTGCCCATAGTGAGAAGCAGCAGCACAGTGCAACCTGCTGCCCCAGGACCTGTGTTGGCTGCGGGTTTAACTGGTGCACTTTGGAGTTTTGCTGATAGCCAGGGATGTGGGGCACTGCCACGGTGCTGAGGCTGCCTCTGATCTGCCACGGGGTAAATCCCAGGCAGTGCTGCCAAAGCCACTGGGACTGCCCTGGCTCCACCACAGTGGGGCTGAGCTGGGATGCCTCACCCCTTCAGCGGTGGGGAGAAGGCCTGGCAGGGTTTGCATTTCAGAGGAGCACCCAGAAACCCAGGTGCCTCCCAGAACCAGGCTGAGGAGCAGTGAACACCCAGCTCCATGTGGGGAGAAACCTGTATTGGCCCTGCTTGAAATCAGACCCAGCAACACAGTGAAGAGGGAGCCAAAGCCTGGTAAAGTCATCATGTCTCCTCTCATCTTCTTTAACCTTCTCCCACCAGGGACAGGCTGGGTGCTGGAGAGGCCAGGCAGCACCTTTCCTGGGAGACTCTGCACTCCCTGCACCCAGCCCAGGTCTTCATCATCCAGCTGCTTCCCCTGCCCCAAGCCAGCATCCCAGCAGGTAGAGATGGGCAAGGGACACAGAGCTCATCCCCCAGGCACGTAGGGGAGAAGCTGGGTTGGGGACACAGAGCTGGGTGCAGCCTGCACCCTCCCTGCTCCTTGACAGCCCTTCCTGGTGGGTGGCGAAGCTGCTTTCACAATGGTTTCCTGTGAAAAGCCTGCACCAGGAAGCTCCCCACTTAGGCTCCTTGAAAAAAAAAAATATTTCTCTGCAGGAAATTGCTTCTTGAAAAACAGCCTGGCCGCCTGGAAGAAGCTGCTGAGGAACTGACGTGTGCAGGGGGAGGGCGGGCAAGGATCTTCAATCTACAGAGCCCAGAGAGCACCAACAGGGCCTGCACTCCATGTCTTGGGCCATCCTGCTCTTGCCTGGCTCTTTTCTGAGAAGGAAGGGCTTTTTTGGCCTACAAAAGCAGGAATGATTATAAATAAGGTATGTAGGTATGTATTCAACTCCATGCTGTGCAGTCTGCATCCAGTACATGCCTGAGACGGACTTGAGAGGAGATGTTATTGGTTTTTAAGTCACACAAATATCCTGTCCTGCTCCATCATTGCAGTGGCAGACTCTGGAGGGTCCAATGCCAAAGAGAGCATCAGAGCTGCCAACTCCTCTGGTCCTCTGTGGGGGAGGATTTTGTAAGGCTGGTGACACATGGCTTCCAGACCTGCTCATTTAAACCTCATTGCTAAAAGGATAAATAATCTTAAATATTCTCCAGAGTTCTTCCTCTGGAAAGAGCCTGGAGCCCAGGAAGCAGAGGCAGGGAATGGAAGTGGTTGTTGCTCAAGGATGTTTTCCCAGTTTAATTAGATTGGAGCTGCCCTCCCTTGATGTCAGAGCCCTTGGAGGCTCTTGGCTTCTGCTGAAACAAGAGCCCCCTTTCTGGGTTTTGTAGAAAGCATGGAGACCTCATGAGTCTTCATGTAACCAGCTATTCCTTACAAAGCATTGTGAGAAAAGCTGGGCCAATATTACCCAGAAAAATCACTTTTGGCTTTACAGATTGGATTTTTTTGCATGAAGGTGGAAGCACAGCCCTTTCTGTAAAAATTCAGGGGTTTCCTCAAACCCTGAAGATGGAGCCAGACTTTTCTTGTGTGCCCAGGGAAGGCAATGGGAACAAATTGAAGCGTGGGAAATGGCAGTTCACTTTTTCTCTGTGAGGGTGGTCAAATACCGCATCAGGTTGCCCAGAGAAGCTGTGGGGTGTCCATTATTTGGAGATACTGGGATACCCAGCTGGGATGAGGTACCTGCTCTAACAGGCACTGCTGTGAGACATGGGCTGGACTGGACACTCCTCAGAGGGACCTCCAGCCTCAGCCCCTCTGAGCTGCTGTGACCACTATGAGATGACAACAGCCCCTGGCTGCCCAGACACTGCACATGCCCTCTGGCTTTTGCACAGGAGGGGCTGGTTTGCTTCTTCTGCAGGAACATGCCAGAGAACAATTTAGCTGTCTTTGGAGCAGAATTCAGTGACACATTGACTTGAAAGGCTCCAGCTGTGCAGCAAAAGTGCATCTCAGACTGGCAAATGTTGTCCATTTAATAGAGAAAAAGCGGCAGCACCCCAGGACCTGGAGATGCCGGTTCCACGCGCTTGTGGCTGCCTTGTGCTTCACAAGATGCTCCATGAAGGTTTCTCCTTGTGGGGGTTCTTGCCCAGCCTTCATCCATCTGCTGTACTGGGGCAGCAGGGCAGAAGGTCTTTGCCAGGGCTCAGCAGTCTCACAGGATGGAGCCCGATGGAGACTTTTCCCTGAAGTGGGGCTGCGTTGGGAAGGGTGAATCTGTTCCCATGGCTGAGTTGGATGCCTGCAGTGTCAGAGCTGGTGCTCCACAGGGCTGGGTTGCCGCAGACAGGGGACCTGGACCCTCCTGCTGAGCATTTGTGGGTGAAGGGCTTCGCCAGGCCAAAGTCATCTGACACTTTTCCCGGGGGTGGGTGAAGCTAATGAGTCCGGATTAGGCAGTGCGGAGGCTGGGGAGCTGGATTTCTGCTGAATATATATGAAGGCAAATGTAAATTCTAAACTTTCTAGGGAGTATTTTTACCCTGGCTCAGTGTTAACATTGATAAAAATAGTCACAAATTAGTGCAGGAGTAGAAAGTAAAATTGGGGCTTTTTTTTTTCCACTGTTAAAACCATGCATCTGTTCTCTACCAGGAGTTAACCTCTTACATGCATTAATGAAACATGGGGTAAACCATCAACAAGTACCCTCTCCTGACAAAATAACTCCTACTTCAATTCAGTAATTAGGAAGAAAAACTGAAGTTAAACAAAAAGTCTTTTTTTTTTTTTAAGATAGAAAAATGTGCTTCAGTCCTAGAAATTCAGCACTGCAAGAGGATGTTAACATCACTCCAGCCCACCTGCCTGTTTCCCTAGCACCCAAACGCTTGCAAAGGTAATGGGAGGTGCCAGCCCCATTCTGCAGATGGGAAGAGTGCAGTACAGAAAATTGTGATTTCACTCAACGTCACAGAGCGAAGGAGAAGCTGCCCTGCCCTGGCAGCCCACGCTACCTGAGCAAATTCCCAGCTGAAATTCTGCTCACACAACACTGCTTTGAGCTGCTAGTCCAACATTAAACTTCCAGGAAGGAGCTTCCTCTCTTAGTACTGATTGATATTTGGCCACAGGCATCTGAGACGGGTGAAGACTCCTGTTAGAAGGAGCTTAGTAGCTTTATGGATTGATATCTGGGCCACAAATCATACCTGATACCTCTTATTAGATGTAGCAAACAGCTGAGTGAGCAGTGAGAAGGTAAGTCCTGGGAAGGTTTAGCTGCTGCAGCCCAGAGTTGTTGTGGGAGAGGCTGCTTTCACAGCTGAGACTGTAAGGAAAATCCTTTTGGGGTGCAATGTTGTGGAGAAAGTGCATGTTAAAAAGAAACAAAAGCTTTCCAGAGGTTCATTTTTAAGAAGATGTGTGTTAACTTCTGACCAGCTTCTAATTAGCTTTACTCTTCAAATCCTTGGGAACCCCAGCCCTCACCTAAGCTGTAGGTACCCCACTGGGGGGTGTGTGTCTCCTTGGGGTGTGACACCTTCTGCCATTTACTCATATTTTGGCTCCTCCCTTGGCTCAAAGTAGTGTCTGTCACATCCTTGGAAGCGATGCCACCGCAGGGGGTGTCAGGGCCTGGCTTTGGGCAGACATCTGCTAACGATGCACTTCCCTTGTGTTCTGCCATGACTCATGGTCTTTGTTTCTAGAACATCAAAACACGGCCTGTGGGCTCTGCAGTCAGAGAACCTGGGAAAGGAGAGGTGGCGGTGATGGAAACAGGGAATCTGAGATGGCACCTGTGTTGGCAGCGCGGGAGATGGGGACAGATGAAGACAAAAGCAGTGTGAAGCCAAGCCAGCAAGATGTGGCTGTGGGTATGGGGAAGTTGCCTGGTCACTGTGCTGGGCATCAAGTAGAAAGTCTGTTGGAGGAGAGAGTTTTTCCACAGCAGAAAAGCAACCAGAAAGATGCACACAACCCACATTAGAAACTCAGGGCCAGTTGTGGTGGCACAGAACACAGATGATGGCATCCCCAGGCTCCCCAGAGAAGTGGTCATGGCACCAAGCCTGCCAGAGCTCAAAAAGCATTTGACCAGTGCTCTCAGGCTCATGGTGGGATTCTTGGGGTGCTCCTGTGGAGGACTAGGAGTTGAACATGATGATCCCTGTGGGTCCCTTCCAGCTCAGTATATACTATGATTCTATGCAGCCACGTGTAGAGGGTTTATTGCTTTGGGCTGTCCTCGTCACGAGCACTTGGGACTCTTTGGAGCTGAGCAGAAAGCTGCCCATTCATTTCTGGACATGTGCTGATCTTCTGCCTGTCAGCAAAGCCTCCTGCAGGGTGAGACAAACACCACAAAGATCCCTGAGGCCCTGCCA